GGAGGAAAGGTTGATGTGCATAACCATGGTCTTGGTATGGTTGATGGTGACGTGGTTGTTGGTGGCCCAGTTTTGGAGACTGTTCAATAAATCCTGAAGGGCGGTATAGTCGGGAGCAGAATTGTTGACGCTGATCCCAATAGTGGAGTCGTCGACATATTTCCAGCGAGTAGGGGTTTCTCTTAGGGCATCATTGATAAGCATAAAGAAGCAGAGTGGTCCCATCTTGGTGTCTTGGGGGACGCCACAGGTGAGTGACTGAAAGGTGGAGACAGCCCCTCGGAAGCGTACAGCTTGGCGTCGGTCACTGAAGAAGTCTGTAAGCCATGGTATAAGATTTCTCCGAAGCCCGAGGTCAATAGCTTTGTTGATGATTAAATTGTGGTCGACTTGGTCGAATGCTTTAGTGAAATCAATGAAGGCGACAGCTACAGACTTTTTCGTTTCTCGAGATGGCGGTATATGTAATCGAGAAAGCTGACAAGACAGTGAGTGGTGGAGGAAGTTTCCATATTGCCAAATTGCTGAGGGTCTACGACTCCTGCAATATCAGCATAAGCCCAGTCGAACACAAAACTTTCGCAGATTAGGCTGGGTATTGGGGTGATTGCAATAGGTCATAGCTGATTTAAGGATTGTGGGCTGGTTGACTTGGGCACTTTTGATACATAAGAGGTCTTTCAGTCAGCTGGGCATCTGGCTTGACTGAGAGAAGCATTGATGATGGAGCATAGGGGTTTAGCAAGCTCCGGGGAGAACTCCTTGAAGAGTTTCATTGGTAAGTCAATGGGGGTGGTAGAGCGTTTTAACTTTAGTTTGTCCAGACGTTTTTCTACTTCTAATTCTTCTACTAAGTCAGCGGGAAGGGGGGCTGGTAGGTAAGCAGGGAGAGTGGTTGTGTCAAGCCCGGAGAGCGTCTGGCATATAGTAGCGAAATGGTTATTTGATTGCTCAGCTGCGTCACCATTAGTGAGATGGCTAAGGAAGGGGAGGGGGTGTGTCTTATTGATTAGTCCACAGAGTTATTTAAGCTTACCATACCATTGACTGCTTCAGGTGTTGCAATTTGATTGGGTAGTGAGACTTCCTTGCAGTACGTATTTCGCGAATAACTCGGTTGCTAAGGGACCTGTAGCGGATGTGGTCATTGAGATAAAAGGCTCTGTCTCTCTGTTGCATAAGTCTTTTGATCCGAGGTGTGATCCAGGGCAAGTCAGCTGGGTGAGATCTGATGGACTTCTCGGGGAAGAAGTGGTGGTGAGCTTCCGTGGTGGTGTTGGTATAATTTTTCCATTTGGTTTCCACGTCATCCACGCTAAGTACTTCAGTCCAGGGATGGTGAACTATCCACTGCCCGAAGAGGCACACTGCAGAGTCAGTAATCGGCCTGTAGGTCTTGATGTAGGGTCTCTGTACTTGCGTGGTAGTGGCAGCTGGGGACCAGAGCACTGAGAAGTGTGTGCTACACCCGATAGGAGGCATTGGTTGAGGTGGTTGGTACTGGTCCGCTAAGTCAGTTAAGATAAGGTCAAGGGTATTTTGACCGTGTGTGGGGAATTTCACAACTTGTGATAGTGACAGCTGGTCCTGGATATCAGTGGTGTCTATTTCATTATAATCCCTGTATAATACTAACTTGGCATATGGGTACCTGACTCTGAGGTAGTCTGAGGTGGTAATGAGATGATTGATAAGAGTGTCTCTGGTGGGTGAGCCACACAGATTATGATGGAAGCAGTGTGGCGCGGGTGGGTCCGTGGCACAACACATAACCATAATGCTTCCACATCTGCTGGGACTTGAACATCCAGGCGTGACAGGCGTAGGTCATCTTGACAGAAGAAGGCAACGCCCCCTCCGCGTCTATGTGAACGAAGGTGATGAAAGAGTTGATATCCCTCAATATGACACGTTTCAGGCACAATTTGCCAAGCCTCACATATGGCAACGACGCTCGCAGCGGCTGACCTGACTGTAGTTACCAGCTCGTCAAACTTGTTAGCTAGGGAAGTGACGTTGGATACCAGTAGAGACGGGAGATCATACTATGTCCGTGGAACTTCAGTGTAATGTTACGGTCTGTCAAGGGTGGGTTTCTCTGGTTTCCTAGTGGAGGTTACGGTCCTAATGGGCTTATGTGTATGACGTGTATGTGTATGTGTATGTGTATGTGTATGTGTATGTGTATGTGTGTGTGTGTGCAAACTAAGCTATGAGTTACTTTTCTCAAGACAACAGCAAGTATTAAGCAAAGAAAAATTTATCTTCTTTTAAACTATATAGGGAGTTACTATAATATGACGGTCCAAAGACAATGAATCATCAGATGTTGAGAGAACACGTGACTGACCACCGAGTGATACCGTTGTGAGGTCATTCAAACGAATTTCTGTTTGGTTAAAAAAAATCCAAGTTGAGCTACAGTTAATTTCAACTATAATTAAAAGTGTAATTCAGCGTGACACTTGTACTATCGTGCACAAAAGTCATGTCCACTACCCAGCTACAGTGAGGTTTCGAATAGCCTTGAGTCTAGGGTTGCCATACGTCCGTATTTTCCCGGACATGTCCTCCATTTAGGTCACGAAATCTTCATCCGGAAGGAATTTTTAAATTTCTTCAAAAGTCCGGAATTTCATCTTCCATCATTTTCTCCACGGAAAAAAACATGAAACTGTAATGACGGGAGAGAGAGAGAGAGAGAGAGAGGGAAGGTGGAAACTGTAGAGATCTCGTTCAGTTTTCGTCAGCTGATGTCACTTGTACGCCTGTATGGTGTTGCCAACTTAGCTATCAAATATTTGATTGATAAGGGGATAGAAGTTGATGAAGTGTTTTGACCAAGTTGGTAACCTGAAGCAGTTTGAGGAAAATTACAAGAGTGATGAAGAATTTAGTAATCTGACAACACATAAAAAGTGGACCAGATACTTTGAAAAATCAAAGAACACTGAATGCCACTCAGAATTGCTAAGAATGCACAATTCTTCCTTGCTATATCATCTCACAATGCAAATGTAGAAAGAGTTTTTTCACTGATGCAAAGTCAATGGACAAAGGAAAGGAACAAATTGAGTGTTGAAACAATGAAAGGCATTCTGACTGTACAGTACAACTTCGAGAAACACCTTGCAGTGACTTTGTAGTGGATACCTCCCCTACAAACGCTGTTTGTCGCTGAGTAGCCGACCTCGCGAATTAACCAGTGTATGCTTCGTGCTCAAGGACAACCAGCGCCGCCTTACATGACGGTGGTCAACTATTAAGCCACGCCTACCTCCGCTATAAAAGACCTGACCTCGTGGTGACCTCTCTCTTTCTACCTACAGCCGCAGCAAGCAACACCTCATCCTCCGCTCCTGCCTGGCGGCCCTCGCTCCCGCCGGCGACTATGCCGCCCTTCAAGCTGCCTGTCCTCCTCTGAGAACCCTCATCAACCAGCTCTCTCTACATCACGCTTGTAACCACGCTGCCACTTTCCAGCACCAAGCTGCACTGTACATCCAATACAATATGTATACAGAGAGCACATTGTGAGTTTCCTTTCTCCATCCCATCCTGAGTGTGAACCAAAATATCAATACCCCACAACTTCTAAACCTTTCTAAAGAGCAATCTGCCAATACTGAAAAAGATCCGATCTACAGAAAAGTATGCATGGGCACATAAAGTCACACACACAGTGGGGGAAGAAGACTGCAGCTAAGGGAATGAAGATGTTCAGCCTTTAGCAAAGGTAATTTATTTATTTTTTTAAGATTTCTATACCACGTATGTTGTATATTAGCCTGTGTGTGCCGGGCGGAGGGGGGATGTCTTCGGAGCGTCCTCTTTTTAATGTTCAAATATGGCAACCTTACTTTCTAAGGTTCGAAACAGCTGGGGGAAATGCTATGGTCGGCCAACAGATGTCGCCCACTGTAGTGTGTGTGTGGGGGGATAGAGGAGGTGGGGGTTAGTCTAGTAACAGGCTGTGTGTAGGTGGAGCATATGACGTTGATCACGCCATGGTGTGCAAGAAAGGGAGTTTCATATGCATGAGGCATGACGAAGTAAGGGATCTAACAGCAAATATGTTAAAGGAAATCTGCCGTGATGTCAGGGTAGAACCGACCCGCCTTCCATTGGACGGTGAGATTTTCCAACATAGGACTTCAAACACATCCAACGAAGACCGTGTTGACGTCAGTGCTCGAGGATTCTGGAAGCGGACAGGGAGCCTTCTTCGACAGTAGGATTTTTTCTCCCACGGCCGCATGTCACCGTAACTTAGCTCTCGATGGTGCACACAGGGGTAACGAGAACGAAAAGATAAGGGCATATGGGGAGAGAATTCAGAACGTTGATCAAGGCAGCTTCACTCCTCTAGTGTTCACAACCTCTGGTGGGATGGGACCAAGTGCAAGATGCTTCTGCGCCAGACTCGCGGAGGTGATATCCGAACAGAACAGCAGCCCAGAAGTTATGTTACAGCCTGGATGAGATGTCGACTGACCTTCTCTCTCCTTCGGTCGGCTTTGCTCTGCCTCAGGGGAACGAGAGCATCGGCACCCAAAGCCGACAACAGTTGCAGATATTGACTATGCGGCTACAGTCACTGAATGCCGCATAGCTCTGCAGCTCAACTAACTGAACACAGCTAGGATAGCTACGTATGTATTAGGATATTTTATATTAAGGTAATAAAATGGTGGCAAAGGTATGGCTATTGGGGGAGGCTGGAGGCCATTATATTTGTTTTGAAAAAAACGTAGTACTAGTAGTAGTTGTAGTAGTTGAATAATATTCTACAATATTAATTGTTGTGATCATTCGTCTTACTATTACTGTATATCTATAATTATCTATAATTGTATCATTATTCTCATCAGCATTTAGTTTACTGGTACTATTATTCATTCATATTTTAACAATTATTCATAGTTTGTCCCAACAATTCTTAAAAACAAAAGCATTGAGTTACAAGCCAATCAGCGCATAGATGCCAAAAATAAACTAACCAATCACGTCGCTGGAGTCCTTGCCTAGGATGAGGGGAGGGAGGGTGGAGCAAGATGGCGGCAGGTTGTTGTTTTTGTTGGGCTGTAGCCAGAAGCTCTGTGGTAGCGCCCGCAACTTCATAGGCAACGGATCTAGAGGAGAAAAATGTAATATAGAAATCAATTACAGTAATAACAGTACAGCTACTATTACTACTAAATATAAATAATTCAATAATAATATCTACAATGCACTCGGGTACATACCAAGTTTGTTGATCCTACCATAATCTGTTATAGTGTTATCGTGCAGAAACAGATAAATAGACGGGATGGAATGTCATACCTTCAAATAATAATACCGGTAATATTAGCAGTATCATTATGCTGGTGATGGTACTATAGCTGTTAATAATAATGATAATTTCCAAGATGGATGTATTTATTCGATAAACCCAAATTTACCTAAGTTGCCGTCAATCGAGTCTGACTGAGTTACTTGTACTCCAAGGATAAAATTCTGGTTATAATCCTTGCTGTCCAGTCCCCAAAAAAGTATCGTTAGATTTACCGTCGCTACAATTTGAAACGGTAGACGAAATGTTTTGATATGATGCCCAATGCATCATCATAAAGTTAGTACACCTGCTCGCCATATTAGCAACAGCTAGGGAGGGAGGCAAGATTTGGGGAGGGAAACATCCTTGTATGGCATACTAGAATAACTAGATACTTATATATAACAAGAAATCAATTAAGCTATATTAATGTGTGTATCGTGCTGGATTGAAGCATCGAAATATACATTAAATGAAAATGTTTCAGAACATGATAACTAAAACTGAGAGAGACCTCAAAACGGACATTCACCAATACTTCGTTGTAGTAACTGAGATTCATTCATACCGAGTTTCACAATATGCCAACTCATGTTGTTCATGATATGTCTGTTTTATGAAGAGTGACTAAGCATATAGTACTTGATATTAGAGTGAATAGCTACAGCAATATACTATATATCGGTCTACATGGGATCTGCCCCCATATTACTGATATGTAAATTGCTTTGATTGAACACCGAATTAAGGTTTCAAATCAAGGGACTTGCAGGCAATAGAACCCCCCCGTCCACCTATAGTAAGAGATTTGTGAGTGTAAGTTTCAGTGTAGCACCTGTTATTTCATGGCGCCTAACCCATGGTGATACTGTGGGTTAGCTCACCCCAGTTCGTGCTATCTCAGCGATACGTATACGATATACGATATACCCTTGATAATTACTCGCTCCGCTTGATGTAAGATCCCGTTAATGATTGGCATGACGTTGGTGTTCGTTTACGACATCCATCCAGAGTTATGTGAAGCCTCGGAGGCAAAGTCTAATTATACCAAGTCAACCCATTTCGAGTCGAAAATTCGTCCTTTGCTGCACATGACGTCATATGGTGGGTGACCTGTGCCTATGGTGGGACCTCAGTTAGCAGCTGGCCGTCGTGGTGTGAAGGTCTGTGACAATGCCTGATAAATGCGTTGTATTTGGATGCATATTAAATTACAGACTACATGATAAAAGTTTGATATTTTCATCGATTTCCAAAGGTTTAAATTTAAATTTCCTTAAGTCTTATGTTCAGCTAGGAAACCGGATGCAGAGAGACAAGTATCTAGTTGTTGCTTGAAACTGTAATATATCTAGTGGCCATATTGATAAATTGAAAACATCTACACATATATACTTGTACGGGTATTCACTGACTTACTGTAATAGCTTGGGGAGAGAGAATGTTGATAATTATAATCATTAACAATTATTATTTTCTTTAATATATTTAATTCTTGTATTCCTACTGCCCCCCCAGTAAATAGCTAGCCCACATGCCTATGATTACTTAATTGCTTTTACACTGATACTGGCAGCAAAATCATAAAAGTATAAATAAAAATAAAGAGTAGAAGAGGATTATTAATAATATTTATAATATTTTTTTAATAATAAGACTATGAATATCAAAACAATAATGATTACATGAGAAGTTCAAGTGACTCACAGAAAGATGGTGTGCTTGGGGATGAGAAAATCAGGACAAATCGCAAGAATATCTTCCAATACAGTGGGGTGGTCTCACCCGTGATAATATACGAGTCCTTCCTTACTACCGTTTTCTTCCACTAAGGCCAATGACATCACATAATTAGCTCCGTCTCCTGTGTGTGGGTTGACTTGGTTTAATTTGACTTTGCTCAGAGGATTCACTTCATTTTTAAATCCCTGTACATGAAGCTGTAATATTATTTCCGAATTGAAAAAGTAAAATTGTTGTAAGTAAACTATCTATATTTATACTAGTATCTATATACAGTATATTTACTTTGTTTAAATAATTAATAAAATCACCATAACTTTTATCAGTGTGTAGTTGTAATTATTTAGTTTTTAAAGTAAATAAAATAAAACGGCTGTTCCGTATTATTGTATATTTCTCCGAAGTACAGTAAACTAAATTTCACTCACACATACAGAAACACAGATAAATAAATATTAAGTAAAATTGTCATACAAGTTTACATTCAATCATTAAGATGCTGTCAACAACCTAAAGACTACACCATTTGTAAGCCTCGTAAGCTAATCCAAACTACAATATCTCCTGCCTGCCAATCAAAAAGTACCATCTTCATATCTGAGGGTTGGCGACCAGTCCTCCACTCTAAACGTTTTCGGGATGTTTCTTACCTATCCTCCGAGATTTTGCATATCTCTAGGGACACAAGTTTTTAATATCATTCGTCCATCCCAGTCTCGGCTTTCTTTTGGCTCTCTTACCCGCTACTTTGCCCATTAGTATTTTTGTTATTATCCCCCATCTCTAATTATACGACCAAAGTATCTCATTTTCCCTTTTCAGTAAATTTATAAGTATTGCTCTTGAAGGTTTTGCCAATATTAATGCTTTTTCATTTGTTTTCCTGTCAGTGTAGCTTGTTCTTAACATTCCCTTATAACAGCACATTTTAAAGGCGTCTAACCCCTTTCTGGTGTCAGATGAAAATGTCCACTCTTCTTGACCCACACAACAGTCCTGACCTACTACTACTTTGCTCTCACTCGGAATCGAGTATAACGATCATCCAGCTAGGTTGGTGAGTTTTAAGGTGATTAAAGAGGCCGATACGGGACCGGCAGGGTCGATCACAGAATTTACACATGTGGGGAGCTACATCTAGTGCGGGGGGGAGGCGGCAGCATCTTTCCGGCGTTGGCGCTTGTCTGCCTCGTTATGCAGTTGGGCTAACTCGAAAGTATTGACACCTTTTTGTGTGGTGCTCCTCCAAGTGTTACGGTGTGGAGCAATCGTCTCCCAGGTGAGGGGGTCGATTTGGCACTTTTTCAGGTTTTTCTAAAGACATTGCTTATACCTCTTCAGTTGCCCGCCAGCATTACGTTTACTAATCGTTAGGTGACTGTAAAGTAGCTGCTTTGGCAGTCTACTGTCGTCCATGCAGTAACATTGACAGTCCAACGTAGTTGTTCATGGATAGTGGTAGTCTCGATGTTTCTACAGTTGGTGTCAGCAAGAATATAGTCATTTGTTCTCTTGTTTTCCCAGTGAACTAGGAGGATGGAACGTAAACTACGTTAGTGAAAGTTTTCATGTGCCTTGATGTGCCTCCTGTATGTAACCCATGTCTTGCTGCCATATAGCAGGGTGGGGAGGACCACTGCCCGATATACGTGCAACTTTGAAGATAATTTCAGCTTCCTACAGCTGAAGACACGGTTTCGGAGTCTGCCAAAGGCTTGAGATGCACTTCTGACCCGATGCTGAATCTCTTCTTCGATGTCCGCGGTGGTAGACAAGTGGGAGCCGAGATACCGAAAGTGAGTAACATTAGAGAGGGTAGAACCGTTAGGCTGGATGAATGGTGGAGGTTTAGCTGAACCATGGGCAGGCTGAAAGAGAGTTTGAGTCTTACGTACATTCACCTCAAGGCCAAAGCATGCATACCCATCTGCATAGGTGTTCAGGATCTCCTGTAGGTCGCGTTCAGTATGAGCGACAAGTGTGTAGTCGTGTGCATACTGAAGTTCAGTAATGGAAACTGCCGACTCCTTTGTTCCTGCCTGGAGTCGTCTTATGTTGAAAAGACCTTTCATACGGTACCGCATGTCCATCCCGCCGGCTAAATTTGCGCTGGCAGGAGTAAGGAAGGCAGCCAAGAAAATGGAAAAGAGAGTTGGTGCCAGTACGCACCCTTGTTTAACCCCCGTTTGGATGGTGCAGGACACTGCCGTTCATGCCACCGTGGAGTTGCCTCACAATGGAGATGATTTTTGGTGGGAAGCCAAAACGAGTCGAATTCCTTGGTTAGGTCGATGAAAGCCATGTACAGGTCACGACACTGTTCTCTGCACTTTTCCTGTATCTGATGGGCAGGAAAAATCATGTCAGTGGTGCCATGTGATGGTCTAAGGCCACATTGAGTTTCTGGGAGGAAGTTTTCCACCTCAGGAAGAAGTCTGTTTAGGAGGACTCGCGCGATAATCTTGCCAGCTGCGGACAGCAGCGAGATCCCGCCGTAGTTGCCACAGTCTGACCGGTCTCCCTTGTTCTTATAAATATTGACGATGGAGGCCTCTTTAAGAGCATGGGGGATTTCCTCCTTTTCCCATATATTCTCCAGGAGAGAGTGGAGACAGCTGGTAAGCAGAGGTCCTCCTGCTTTATACACCTCGGCTGGGATTCCATCAGGCCATGAGGCTTTGTTATTTTTCATCTGTTTGATAGCTATAGCTACCTCATCCAGGGATGGAGGATAGCTGAAGTGGATCAGCTTTGGATGCTGAGGCACCTGCTCGGTAGTCAGAACATCCACATCAGTGTTTCGGTTGAGCAGTTAATGGTATGCTCAACATCTTTAATTATGGAGTTACCGTCAGATGAGCGGAGGGGGGCTGTGCCAAGATTGATATGCTCATAAAATATTTTAGTGGAATTGAAAAATTCGTGCATCTTGTGCTGATCTGCAAATTTTTGTGCTTCACATGCTATATTTCTAAGCCAGTTGTTCGTTAGATTGCGAAGTTCCCGCTGGACCGCCGCTTTTTTCTTGCGGAAGGTATCAGCTTTGGTCAGAGACTGGGGGTTGTTACG